TAGGTTTGGGCTGGTCCAGGGATTGTAAGGACAGAGAGTCTTTGCACTCAGGACAGACCATATGGTCACCTTTTCTGCACTCTTAGCAACAGCTGCAGAGTCCATTCTGTCACGCTCTTGTTTGGACACAGTTTTTTTAAGGTGCAGGTGCTGAAGTGTGCATGTTTGCTTTCTCTTTATTAGAGAAGAGCTAATTAAATTTATGTCCTTCCCTCACAGAGTAATTAGTTCATCTGATATTAAACATTCAATTTGCACTGGTGACACTGATGATGTTTACCCATGGGTCAGATGCCATAATGTTGGATGGATCCCATTTTCTTACATGTGTTTGTCCACTTATTCACTGCAGGTCACTTTAATGCAAGCTAATGAGTATGTACAGAGGATGAAAGCAGACATGAGAGGCACCAACCTGCTGGGGGTGCTGTCCTGGTTGTATCAGCAGCCAATGCAACGTTCCTGTCCTCGCCAGATTTTTATCATTACAGATGGGACAATCAGCAATGTGTCCAAAATACTGGAGCTGATCCGTAGAAACACATGCTCAGGCAGGTAAGGGGTGCCCAAATTATTAACAAAGAGTTTCAGTAATATTTTCGAGCATATAACATACTGTCACATTTGATTTTATATGTAAAAGGTCATACTTATATATATAATATTACACTAAATAGAATAAGACACTATGCATCTTAGCACAGTATGAGACATGAGGGACAGAAGCAAAGAGCCATAGTATTGAAGCTCCAAGGCAGAAGAAAGTGGACAATATTTTATTGCCCCGCCTTGCAATCCCACTAAGTGCTCTCCTCTGCAGTAAGAGGCATGCTCACTGGTTTGTTCCAAGCCTTCAGCAATTCTCTGTAAGTCCATTTATATCTTATTAGTATTCTCCTGTTGGATGATGTCCTCTATCACTGTATTGTATTGCACATAATTAAGTTCTATATATTTTGACATCAGTTACTTTGTTTAAAACATGGATTAGTTTACATTTTATGTAAAATCAGCTTTTTGGAAGTATAATTTATAAGATCTTAGACTTTTCCCTAATTAATTTTTTAAAATTCTCAAATGTGACACATGTCCTGATTTTATTATTATATTTTTTATGTGAAACATATTAGTCTTTTTTTGTTACTTATTAAACCAATTCTTATTCATAGTACTGTATTTTGAGTTTGATTAGTTTAAAATGAATACAATTCTGCAGATGTTTTGGATTGGGGCTTGGCCCCAGAGCCTGCAGACGGCTCTTGCAGGGTGTGTCCAAATTGACAGGAGGCCTGACCGAGTACTTGGATGATGAGGAGAGACTCCAGCCAAAGGTAGTACACTGCCATCTATTGGAGAAACAATAATCTGCTTAACAAAGGCGCAATTTGTGTTTTTTTTAGTTAATCAAATCCTTGAAAAAAGCTTTTGAACCTGTATTAACCGATGTTCGAATTGACTGGTACCTGCCTGAAAATATGGAGGCCCTTCTGTCGCCCTATGAAATTCCTCCTCTCTACCCTGGAAACTGCCTTATTGGATACTGCACTCTGTATGACACAACAAACCTCAAATCAAAGAAGACTGAGGTACTTGATGTATTTGTATTTGTATAGTACATAGTTCACTGGCTTCTTACACAGTCTTATCAGCAGGCCGCTAAAGTTGGACATGGTAGCTCTGCAGCTGTGGTAAGCGATGACCTTTCTCCGCCTCCAGCCTCAGAGTTAATGCCTGTGGTGACATGTGCAGAAGGTACTGACTTAGAGGAAGCATTGAGGGAAATCTCCAGAGAAATCTCCTCTGAGTTCTCATGCGCTAGAGACACTGATCCTGGCATGTGCTCAGGTCAGTTCAGTGTGTATATTTTTGTAGTAAAACATATTCATATTCTGATCAACTTTGACTCAAGGGATGGATGTGGAGTGGTCCAGTGATGTGCGGCGGAGGATAGAGGAGAGCTCTTACATCCAGGAGCAGTATGTTCTGACGCGCTGCTCCCTCAGCAGTGACCACACTCTACAGACACATTCTCAGTCCCACTTAAACACCTCATACAACATGGAAGCCACCAGTGATGCTTTGGAGGATTCCCACTCTGGTTCTGTACTAGACACTGGATCTTTGCCTCAAGATCTAGAAAAAATGCCTTCCCCTGAAAAGAAATCTCGCCTGTCTCGTTGGGCAGATGCTATGTGGCATCAAAACCTTTCAGCAAAAACATCTGAAGTTGGAACAAGAAAGGTAGATTTTACATTCAGTTACCAAGTAGTAATACTTAAGTTATTATCCCATTTTACATGTAACAGGGATATCTGGATGTGAACGAGGAGTCTACAAGGAGACACAAAGTCCTGGCTCGATCTACCATGGCAGCTCGTAGTTTCTCCTCTCCGCAGGGAGAGATGGAGATGCATCGCCTGAGAAGAGCATTGGAGAGGGTTTCTTTTGACCAAACTTTGGGAGGAAGACTTGATGAAAGTGATGCAGACACAAAACCTCCATCAGGACCTGACACCTTGTCTCACAGAAGTCTCAGTGATTCCAGTAAGTGTAATGCTATAATTGAGATAAAGTGTCACACCAGTTTGACCTGTTTTCTGTCGATCAGATGGACTCCTGTTCCCTGCATCTCCTCTGGACTGGGACAGCTTTGCCGATCCAGAAAATCTCTTCTGTGCTGTGCCCCTAGATGACCCCCCTCCAGGCCAGTGCCGCTCCATCATACATGGGCTATTCAGTGGGCGCCCTGTATCATGGGAGGTCTGTGTGGACCTGGGACACCTGTGGTCATTAGAAGCTCCTAGCACAGCACTGATGGACAGAGCTGAACTTGATGAAGGCCAGGGTGAAACATGGAAGGAGATTGTCCATCAGTTGACCGCACGCTCAGTCATCAGAGACTTTGAGAAAATGGCAGAGAAGGAGGTCGACACTGGACACAGTGAGACTTTCTGTCACATGTTTACATTGATATGATGAATGAATAATATGCACTCTTCATTTACTAATGTACATATGTTTCATGCTCAGATTCACTAAAACGCTACCGTACAAAGGCTATTCAGACCAGTAAACACTGCAACATAATCTGCATGTACACAACCTTTGCAATAACAGACAGCAGCCAAAGCAAAGCAGAATCTTTGGATGTTCAACACACCGGTATGTTCAGTTTCAGTTTGCATCGTTATTGTAGCTGAATTTCAAACAATTTATTGGACAATTTATTACAAAAACTCTTATGTTTTAGGAATGTATTTGGGCAACAGGCAGAACTCCCTGTCTGGCAGTCGAAAACAGAAAACTTACTCAGTGGGATTAGGCAGACGCCGAACAAGCAGGGACAGTGAGGACCTGGAAGATGCCTTTAATTGCACAGGTAGGAAAAGTTATTATTATTATTATTATTATTATTTTCTTCCAGTCAGGACAGGTCACCAACAATCTTTCTGTCTCTCAGATAAAGATGAAACTCCTGCCTCACCCTGTAGCCTTACATCCTGGGACTCTAGTAAGTTATACCCAATAAACAGACTAATAATTTATTACACAGTTTTTGGAACTTGTACTTTGGAATGTAAATCAATTTAACTGATTCTAACACATTGTTACTATGTCCATGTCCATTATAAAATTATACAGTATTTTTCTTGTCGCATTGTTAAGGCGTAAGTACCTCCTTCACTGCAGCGAACCCAACAATTCCAGGCAGCTCATTTTCACGTTCACAAAGGTCTATTGAAAGCAAGTCAATGGAGAGCTTCTTTGGCACCAAGTGAGATTTTTTTTGTGCAGCATATTGTTTCTGGGCTTTAAGATAAAATAGTAATTATCCATGATTGATTCTATTGCACCAGATTTCCACTCGGCAGACTCAGGTCATCCATTTCATCAGGGAAACAGGTTCCTCTTAAGTCTCACTGTCTCTCTGCTGAACCTGAGAAACAGCTTGACCCTGAAACTCCAGACTATCTGCCCCTGGTGAGGTCAACAACACACACAAAAACAAACAGTCAGCATTCCTATTAAAATCTGTCATGTCCGCAGGTACGTCTGCAGTTGGCATCAGGAGCCTTTCTTCTGACGGAGATCTACTCAGACTGTGTCCAGATCCCCCTGGATCGCTTGAAGAGGGCATCCCCCTACAGCCTGCACCGACGCAGCTTGAGCCCACCTTTCCGCTGCACCACTCCCAGTGCTCCGTCTTTATCTACAGCTGTTAAATCATCAGCTGTCCCCATTCAACATGTTACCTTCTCTCCATCCACATGTTCTCTCATTAAGCCTGTGGCTCCTCCTTTCCATCACACTCCTGATGACACACCACTAATGCTGGAGCCAAGGCTGCGGCGAAGACACCCATCTGACAGAGAGCCCATCAGCACTCCCCCTGACCTGCCCAGCTCTGAGGAGGGGTCTCTGGAGCTGTCGGGGCAAGGCCCTGGCCAGGCCGACAGTGGGCGTGGCTCAGAGACTGATGTATGTGAAACCCTCTCAGTGGATTCAGTCCAGGGCAACAGCCTGTTGGCTCAAGAGGATTTGGAGGGGTCCACATGGGCTACTGCGGTAGCTTTGGCCTGGCTGGAACATCGCTGTGCTGGGTACTTTATGGAGTGGGAGTTGGTGGCAGCAAAAGCTGACTTCTGGCTGCGCTGTCAGGAGCTCCCTGAGGGACTGGACTTGGTTGGGCTGAGGGGAGCAGCTAGACAGCTGTTTCTTCTACTACGCCACTGGGATGAAAATATCAAACTCAACATGTTGTGCTATAATCCCAATAATGTGTGAGAACTTCTGATGAAATAATTTCTACTGCCTACGATTAGCTTTTCAGTGCCAAATACATTTATACTTTCAAGAATATTCTTTGCCTTTTATTATCAAAGCAATGTCAATCAAACCTATTTTTGAATTGTTCTGTAATAATAAAGATGTTTGAATGAGTGTGCTGTACAGTCAATTTACGCTAATATTTTGTAACCAACACCAACCTCACACATACATAAAGCAAACTAATAGCCATTTTTTATTAAAAACTTAGCTACAATTGTGCTTTTGTCCACTGTACATTAACATTGTTGTCCAACAACCAAAGCAAGCAACTCTGTACATATTAGCTATAACTATGATTGCCTTCAGCTTTTCAGTTGTTTAGTGAAACACCAGAGAAGAATGGTGTGACTAAGAACTGCCATTTTAAACTGTAGATCAGCAGTATCATTTTGTGTACCATCACTTAAAAGAGAAGCTTTGATTGTGATAGTTTATTGTTCTCAACTAAATAATTTAAAATGAACAGAAACAATAATATACAACTCACTCTGCAAATCACCTCTGTAACTTTCTCCAAATTAATTCTACTTTGGATTTCTTCTCCAGAAAAAACATGCTTTCTGCATTTGCAATGACTGATCTAAAGTTAACGTCCTTCACATGATGACAAAAGACTACCACATAGTTCCAACACAACACTCAACAGAGTCTAATTGTACTGTCATAGAGAGAAGTAGGAAAAAAATAAAACAAAAAACAATGTCCAGTATTATCTTATATTGATCACTGATGTTTGTCCTTCTTGTGTGTATTTGTTGGGACCACAGAAATAGGGGGAGCCAGCCACAGGCAGAGGAGGATGATGACATGACAGACATGTAGAGCTGCAGAGCTGCTATTAGTGGAAGGATATGTGTTCCATGACAGCTCAATTAGACCCAAGATGAGGACCCTAAAAAATATAACACCTGTCATCATATCATATTTGTCAAAAATATTTTATGAAAAAACCTGAGATAAAATACCTGAGCAAGTGTGCTAGCTTCTTGACCCCTCCACTCCAGAGAAGATATGGTAAGGTGTGAAAATACCACACATAAAACTGATAATGTAATGACCGGCTGAAGCACATACCAATGAAGTTTGACGTAAATAAAATGAGAACAATCTGTGCATGTATATTAAGGTCAAAAACTATAAAACAAAAGACCCTCTAAAATTCATTGGAGTCATTTTAAACACCAAAGTGAAAGGATATGATCAACTGTGTTCTTCTGAGGCGGGACTTTCCTCTTGCTTGGTTCTTTAATAAGTTCGAAGAGATTTTCTCCTGGCCTAATAAAACAAAATAAAAAGTTAAATCCCAAGTAAGTCAATTTCCTACATCTAAATGTAAATGAGCATCTTTGCCATAATCAGGCGTGTTTGCACTGTAATTACAGATATTTTTTATTATTGCTCAAAAACAAGACTGTTTCTAACCTCTTCCAACGGCGCAAGGCAAAGAGCAGGAGAGTAAGCACGTGTGCGGCTAACAAAAGTAGGTGGAACTGCCGATTGAGAAAGAGCCATTCAGGCAGAAAACGCCAGTTCACTGTCCATTTGAACATAAACTGCCGTCCAAGATCAAAAGCTCGGCTGATATAGCCAACAGGATTTTCAAGGAGAAAAGGAAGACCAAGAAAAATCTGTATGAAAAAAGAGAGAGAAAAGTTAAATGTGTGCTGAAGAGCAAAATATATTGGTAGAATTTAAAAAACAGTTTTTTCATTCACATATGATCAATGTAAGATCATTGTATTATGAAATATTATAGGATGATAATTGTATTATACTACACGTATTATAATGGCATTTTAGCAACTATGTTTTGCTTCAATTCTATGCTTATCAGTAGCTCACAAACATGAAGATAGAAGATATATACCTGTATGCCAGCACAGAGCGACAACTTTGGGACTGTTTTTATCAGACCAAATTCTGACAAAAGAAGAAAAAGGAGGCCAGGTGCAAACAGGAGAATGTTCATTTTCACAGACACTGCTAAACTGTCAAAAGAGAAAACATTTTTTTTTTTTTTTTTACATCAATAAAGGAAGACAGTTTGAAGTACCTTTAAGTTAAGAAAAAGATTGAGTTGTAGAACATACTTGCCTGTAAATACCACAACCTAACCACCAGTATTCATCTATGAACAGGTTGATGGCTGCAAACAGAAGCATCATGGCTACTGGGTCATTAAAGAGCCGCAGAACAAAGATGGAGTGAATACGGTAGGAGGCACAGCAAACAAAGAAGAACACATAGGGAGGAACCTGGAAATGCACACAAATGTACAAATTGTACATAAGATAATACACATTTAGAATACTCACATATTTCATACAGACAAACATTAATCTTACCTTCTTAGTACGGAGATACAGTCTGAAGACAAGCAGTAGTGTGATGAGGTAGAAGGCTGCAAAAATGTACTGACCAAGGCGAATATTAACACCCTGACTTGTGATGTAGTACAAAGCAGAGAATACATAAACAAAGCCAGCTGGGTAGCTAGAAAAAATAACAAAAACCATGAACCAACAAAATTTTATGTTGAGAAAAAAACAAACAAAAACAAAACAAGGTTAGATTTTAAAAATGTTGATCAAAAACTCACACCAAAGGGCCAGTGTCTCCTTTGAGCTGAGTGTAATCATAGGTACCATTAATAACGCCTTCCACTTCATCCATGTAGGCTTTCCAGTCGATTTCGGTGTCTAGTGATCATAAAAATAATATTACTAACATGCATTATCAACATTAGATTTACTTTCACATTGCTTCATGTAGTTGCCGCATCACACACACATGTATGGCCTTTTTAATTATAGTATACATTGGTAAAATAACCAGCACCAACTTTGACAGGTGGTGCATTAAGCGTGGGTGCTAAAGCTAACCGTTTAGCATTAAGATGGCTTCATAACAACAGTGAAGCACGATAGCATGCTAACTAGCCGTTCACTGTTACTCACATGGCACTTTTCGTATAACCCATACGTTGATCCCGATTTCTAGAAACCATAGGATTGAAACTACAAGCAAGGTGTATTCGGTTTTAAACAAGACCAGGTGTTTATCCTGCCACAGACAATGCAGTTTGCCCAAGAAAGGGCTTGTTGCACCGGGAGACTTTTTTCGCGTGCTGCCGCCTGCCATCTTGATGACGTAACGAGAACGGAGCGTGTTCCTAAAGTAAAACGAAAAGTAAAGTAAAGTAAAATAAAGTGAAGTAAAGTAAAGTAAAGTAAAATAAAACAAAGTGAAGTAAAGTAAAGTAAAGTAAAGTAAAGTAATTTTAATAGATCCATGAGTAAAAGTAGTCACACGCGTGATTACATTACTTCAAAAATGAAAGAAATTTGCCACGAAATAACGCCGTTGTTTGTAGATTATATTATGCTGTATATATCCCACTATTTCACTGTATTATTCTTCATATTTATTTTAAGATATTTTCAAATGTATTTATTGTTGTTTTATGTATTATATTTACTGTTGTAAATTGTTACTGACACAAACACCTATTCAGACAGTTTCAATATCATATCCTATTTTTTAACGAATTATGGAGAAAAAAATGCCCACAGCCCAATCTGAGACGCAAAAACATTTGCCAACAACCACTAAACATCCTCATAGAAAACAACTGTGAAGCAGCAGGACTAAGTTGCCTACTTCCGGGAAGAAGACAACCCCATTATTAGACCTAGGCTCAGTTTCGCTGCAGGGTCTCAATGCAGCTTGTGCATCTTGCACAAACATCTCATTCAAATTGTGTCTAAACTAGGACTAGCCTAGGCCACGCTTAAACAAGGCCTTGAGCAGGACCAAATCAATTCTATACAATAGGAATAAACGGTTCAAACAGTGACCAAACCAGGACGACAACTAGTAGTAGGCAAATAGTAGTTGCCCATTCCTATTAACACATGCACTAAAATGTTAAAATGTTATTTTGTAGTTGCAAGAGTCCTCTCTTTTTTATTTTATACTTACACTATAGGCTTATAGCTTTCATCTGAAACTCATGAATACCAATAACAAGCTACTTGAAACTCATTTGTGTACACTGCAACATGGGTGATGTGATACATTTATGACTATATTTACTAACTGCAGTATCTTATAATTAATAAGGCTACCAAACAAATTATTAAAATGTGTGTGCAGCATATGCTCTTCCTAAAAATGTTTTTAAAAGATTACCGATAAGAAGGCTTTTGTTTTACTTTTCACATGGTCTTTGCACCTGGCAACTAAAAAGCAACATGAGTCATCATGCTATTTTTGTCTCGTCTTCGTGTAGCGAGCAGTGGCCTACAGAAAGACTCTACTGCTTGTTGGCTTGAATATGTTGGTTATTAGACCTGTATTGGTCTATGTGACATTGAGTTTCATAGAATGGTTGTAAAAAAGAATGTATTCAGCAGAGGAGTGGTCTTTCAAGGTTCCATTGCACTGCATATAAAGAGTTTATATGGTGTCTCAAAGAGTAGAAGAAAAGATAAAACAGGCTCCTAAATTCACCCTGAACATGGCATCCAGATGCTACTATTTATTTTGAATAAACCTACTCTTTACTGGAATTATACCTAACTGCCTATATCATTGAGGTATTAATATGACATACAGTCCAAATACCTTTTTATTATAACACCATACTGGTTATTACTGGCTATTTTTAGGCAAATAACAGGACTGACCTATTTTAGCGTCTTCAATGGAATGGAATTTATTATACCACTAGGGGGCAGCCTTGATACACAAAAACCACCCACAAGAGCTCTGTTTTCATGTCTCAAGCAATTATTAAGGTATCCTGAGAGGCTGTTTTTAATCATTAAGAGAGCTGACAAGCGGTGGTTAGACGTGATTTTACCAATTAGTTATACTTCATTTGAACAGAAACCTGATTTATGGTGATGACAAGGGTGAAAAGGTTGGTGTGTGCTCCTCCGCAAAACCATTTCATAACAATATCATTATAAAGTATAGGTTAAAGTTAGTATGTAACTTTCTGCAGGTAGCATGGTACCTGCATGATTCATTGGAAATAAAAAGTTAAAACATACTTATCCGTGAGGACAGATTTATGTCATACTATGGAATATTTTAGCCAAAGGAACAACATTTCCATCAAAACAAGAGGAGGTCCTCCTTCAAGCCAAGAAACAGTAAGGCTTGTGGAGATGCAAACTTGTTAAACAAACAAACAAACAAACAAACATGTTCTTTGGTTGTCTATTACACGGCCCTTGCTCCTCAGGGACAAGCACTTCCCTTTTGATTATATGCCTTGAAATATCCTAAAGCTAGATTCACAATTGTTGAACCTGGTATTTTCAATTACTGGCTAAAAGCAAGAACTCACTGTATTACAACATAATTTGCATTTTAACAATATTCATTTCAGCTGCCCCCCATTTTTATTAATTAATACTGTGCTATAGAAAGCTGTTTTATAGGTGTCATCTGAAACCCAGCAATAATTTATACAATTATTCTGAGACCTGAAATAACTAGGCAATATTTACATTTTTTTAATTTTTTAAATTTGGTGCATGAGGCTTAAAGAGTTTGGTGAGGAATTTACAAAGATATTGTAGCATCACCAGAGCAAGCGAGCCAGTGTGAGAGAGAGAGACAGAGACAGCCCAGCAGGCAATGGTCCCTGATGCCAATTACTGCTGTCACACATATGCTTTGGGCATGCAGTGAAATGTTGGATAAATGTCCTACTTTCTAGTCTGATTGCTCTGTCTATATTTCCCAACAAACCCAGCTCCCCTCTCTCAGGAGAGTCATAAATAATACAATACAAACCATACAAATATGTAATGTTATTCCTTTTATATATGCTGTAGACTTAATGTTGATTCTAAATAAATTCAAACTAATAAATTAAGATGATTTAAAATTCTATTATCTTTTATGGATTATGCTGCAGTGCCTCTGAGGCTCACCCTGTATTTACTATAGACTATACATTTGGATAAAGATTGCTAATCTCATCAAGAAGAAATGGAGCAGATGATCATTAAAAGTATAATGGTTCAATGGTTCACATTGGTCCATATGACTTGTATCTTAAATCATCTGGAGATTCTCTATTTGGGTTCATTGGTGGTTTGGTCACCTGGCCTCTGAGTGAACCTTATGGATACCTCTAGGCTGCAGTTGTATAAGGAGGTGCCTTGTGAATCACCCTGGGGAAAGCATGGGAATAACCCAAATGATTTGATAAACGTATTCTGTGTGGCCTGACACAGTAGCACATGCCTAAAGCTATTGAGACTGCCACAATTCCTTAGATGTTGGATCACTACAACTTTGAAGATGAAGAAGAAAAACACTTCAAATGATAAAACTGGAATATTTTCTGGAAGAAAAAATATGATAGTAACATAAGAAAATAAATAAATAAAATAGGCCTAATATAAATAAATAAAATGTTTCTTATTATCAACACTTAAAGGTGCACTTTATTTACCTCTTCAAGGCAAAGATACTAAATAGCAAGAACTGACGAATCTCTGTCCAGCTGACAGAACAAAATTTTTCTAAACTTTCTAAACTAAATTTTTCTTTTGATATGGGTCCTACCTGGACAAGTGAGGAATTACAGAGATTACACACACAAATATCCTAAATGTACATCATACAATCTTAATTATGGTCTAGCTCCAAGAAAATCTGGATATACATTTTTTGGAATGACCTCTATTAATTAAACTGACATACTAACCATAATAACAAAGCTAAACTCTGAATCATATCAAAGTATCTATCTATCTCTACTATTACTGTAGGGTAGGAATAGCATTTAAGCTTTCTGTACTTCCATACATGTTAAAGCACAGTTGGTTGGGAGGTGGTGTATATATTTTCCAGTGTAGTTATTAATAAAAATGGGGTCAAGTGGGTCATACCTTGAGGTGGCCAGAAAGCTGGAGATCTGATTGACGACCTGGGAGGCTTTCCAGCAACACCCTGTCCTCAGAACTCAGCTGACCCGGCAGTTGCTTTTCAGGATTGCACACTGACATAAGCTGCCCAGGATGTATTAATAGTTTCCACATTAGAGAAGAGAGCCTTATGGTGCCTCTATATAATAATATATATTCATAAATAAACAGTCATAGGCTAATTGAGATACCCCTGGTGGCCCCCCTGCAGTTAAAAATGCTTAGTTAGTTTATAGTCTATTTAATCCTTATTTCTGTCGTCTAGGTTAGTACTGCAAGCATGCTGAGACGTTTTAGACAGTTAAGGCTTAGAATGATTCTCTTTAAGAACTGGTTTAGAAAAGTGCTATACAGTTTTCTACAATACTGTACAGTATGTCTACCTTTCACGACCCTGAAACAATAGGCTACCTCTTCTGGCCAGTTGGAGTCACTCTTGCTCTTGCGCACTGAGAAAGAGAGAGAGACGCGCTCCAGCCCGGATGGATGACTTCACCGTTCTGCTTGGGTTTCCTTTATGATCCCGGGATCTCCCACTTCCCTCAGCAGACATCACCCAGCCACTCTCACCAACACAGCTCTCCAATCTACAGCCAATACACTGAGGAACCTCAGCTGCGCCAGGACACCGTTGCAAAGCTCTTGCGAACATCCAAACGAGGACCAGTCCTACCAGGGAAACTACTTTGTGTTTAAAAGATACACTTGGAAGACAACTCGTCTCTCTCCGCTCTTGTTTCTCTACACCGGTAGAAACTCCGATTCCCTTTCGTGCCACAATGTCCGAGGTGTTGCCATACAACGAAGGCAAAATGAGCGGCTACGGAGCAGACAGCGAGGTCAACCAGATGTCCTTTAGCTGCGGACTGCAGGACACAAGCGCGTTTTTCGCTGCGTCGCAAGGAAAGAGGCCCCCAAAGCTTGGGCAGATTGGCAGAGCGAAGAGAGGTAAATGGCCGTAAACAATTAGTTTCCAACAACATTTTCATTTGAAACATAAATAATTTTAGTGGCTTATTTAACTGCCTTGAATCATTTAACTGCTATGCTTCATATGTTTTGCGCCGCTTTGTGCGCACCCTTAACATCATCTTTAAAAGAGACTGAAACATTTGATTTATTAAGTTAAAGCTTCATGTGATTGCTGCTATTAATTTAATTGGTTGCGTTACAGCGCAAAGAACAGTTCACCTTTGCAAAGGTCTATACAAGTACATGTTTACATCTGTGAAACGGTGATCCTCGTAGGACACACCCCGTTTTGCACTGAGTTCTCCAAAGGTTTCTCTACGGACACAAGTGACGCCATCACTTTATTTGTTTTCAGCACCAAAGGCAATGCATGCTGTTTGGGGACGAGGATTTGCAGTGGCGTTTGTTTATTTGTTCAACAGCATCTGCATCCCTTTCCCCAGTGCTCTAGTTGTGTTTAAAAAAATGTAGCCTGTGGCCCTGACAAACGCACATAAAGACAAGTCGTGACTAATAAACTTAAATGCCTCTTCTTTCTCTCTACAGTGGTGATCGAGGACGACCGAATAGATGAGGTACTCAAGGGCATGACAGAAAAGTCTTCACCCGGGGTTTAAACCTGACCGATGCCTTGCAGACTTTTTTAATTTTGATCACCGATTTGAAGCACTTGTCGGCTGTGCATGTTCGAGGAGGATTTGAAGGAGGAAAACGACTGCACGAAGCGATGGATGAGGAGGAAGAGAAGACGGATAGTGTGATGAAGGGGTGACACACAGACATGTGAAGAGGAGAGGAAGAAGATATGATACAAGGAAAATGTAAAAGGTAGAGACTCAGGAGGAGACTTATCTTTGGGATTGCTGGCAATTCTCCAAAACGAATCCCGATTTGAAGATGTTGAGATGGCGGAAACGCTCTGTATCTCAATCTCTGCGGACTTTGATGACGGATGAACTTCATTATTTTCATGACCATGTCTCTTCTAATTTTCTTTCCAAAAAGCGCTGTAAACAAACAAAGGCTTGCCACTCAAGGCTGAAGTAAGATCCAAGCCCTTTTCACAATGTTGTACAGAAGCTAGGCTGTAGCCCCTTCCCCCTGCTTCGTCTAGGCTTTGCTTCATGGATTCAGTCAGCCTAGGGAGCTGTCCTTTCAGCACCGGTCCCATGCATTCCTATTGCTACTGACGCTTTGTCTAAAATACACAAACCCAACAATAGCAGAGTCTTCTTTACAAAAGAGACCTGTTGTCTTTGTAAAAACATATATTCAACTATGGTGCAATGTTAATATTTCCTGTTGTAGTTTTGCCCCTAAACACTGCATTAGGTCACAGCCAGACTGACCCTAACTTGTCTCAGAGGTGCAGGAAGGCGCCTTCATGTAGCTCATTTGCCTGCACATATCTACCTTATGGCATTGTTTCGAACATTTTACCACGTATCTACACAGGCCAGCAGAGATCTAGAGATGGAAGTCTGTGTCTATTTAAAGATGGAAAATACAGTATATAATTTGATCTTTGGTTTTGGCACTCTTGTGTTTGGCCCTCTATGAATAGTTTTTCCATCTCTGCATGAAGTGTCACTCTGGTGCCAACAAAGGTGCCACCACTCTTACCCTGGCACGTTTCTTTTTAACAAAAGTCATATTTGTATTTTTATATCTAAATATTTGTTATTTAAATGGTATGCTAGTCTATCGTCTTAAAATTCATCAACACAAATATTTCTTACTGAGAGAGGATATACAGAATGAGACTAGGCCTGATGTGGGTGAATTCAGGATTTGGTCTCATCCTATATCAGCGGTGGACTTTTTTAAAAGACTAATTGAATGTGTCTGGAGTTTTTGCACACATCAATGTTAAACTATTATTAAGAAATCGTATACTGTGACTTGAGCTCTGTTGATGAATCTGTTAGAAAATGGCAGTTTTAGAGTATATTGCACTGTTTACAGTATTCTCAAATAACATGTGGTTATTTGAACCATTTTAAACATACCGTTTTGTTTTTGTTTGTTTTTTTTTTTTCATTTATTTTGTACCATTATTTAAGAATAAACTGGATATGGTTTGTTGTGCATGAAACCTTAATATTTTCAATAATACAACATTGTTTTATGAAGCAAAAAAGCAACAAAATGTCATGACATTCTAAGAATGAGTCATTGTATATTATGATGCCATTTTCACTGTATTTGGTGAATAAATAAATGGTAAACGGGAATACAGGTGTTGCTTTTTACTGTTTGACAACTAAGAAAGACGTCATAACCTCTTCTAGAGCAGCTACACTCATGAATAAAACACACACCAAGATTCAGCAGCAGTGCTGCAGTAGACTTTTCTCTCCAGTCTAAATGAGCTCAATACTAGTAAATACTAATCCTTAATTAACGGTGCTGAAGAAACACACATCCATCTGTTAAGATGTTTAACAGCTCTTCTGGCCTACAGCACTGAATCTATTAAACCACACTACCCTGGGGAGCCATGACTAGCCACATGATTATCTATCAAAGTCTGGCTCTGTACCATAATGCTTAACTCTCAGTGTACCTTCACCACAATACAACTGAGCATTAAGTGCCAATACTGAACATAATTGGCAACAAGCACTTGATTTTACTCTTCTACAAGAAGCAACTGTTAATGTTAGCATTACTATTAGCAGTTTTCTATACTCTCCAACAGCAACAGCAGATCCATGTAGTTAAATAACAGAACTAAAGAAGTGTGGAGTAAAAACAGAACATCCACAACCACTCTGAAGAGCGTTCCCATTAGTATTGACTGTGCTGATAACATCAGCTCTAACTAAATCAACAGATAGTGCTATTGATCATGCTGTTGTCCACACCGAGGGCCATGGGGCCGTGTGGATCACACATTCACAGTAACCACTCAACCAGAAGTCCGGAGGAAAATCACCATATTTGGGCTGATGTTTCTGTGAGAAAGGTTACACTGACACACCAGATTCTTCCTGTTTGTTGGTGTATCCTAATGAACAAATCAGGATCATGAACACAACTCTATGAAGTGATCTTTCAGAATAGCATTTCCTCTTTTGAAGCTGATGCAATGTTCAGCCAAGAAATCACATTAACTGTCCATGTTTTTTTGCTATTACCTAGCTTGACCATGTGGGCACCATTATGTTGTCATTAAGTTGTTTATTTGCTAATACTTTCGTTGTTGTTATTTTAATCCAAAGGTATCAGTGCTGTGACCTGGCAGATGGGCTGAGTGCATGCTTTGTGCACGTAAAGACAAACGCAGCAGTTAATCAGCAGAAGCTCTGTTGTTTGTGAGGTGCAGCAGGCCCAGCTCTCCCTGGGTGCGTGAGAGTGGACGCAGAGCTTTGATCCAATTCTTTTGCCTCATCCTGAGTGGACATCCATTAATATTCCTGCCAGTTACATAAGTCTGTCATACACTATATTATGCCATTATACTGCCCTGAGGGACACAGGCTAATATAGAGCTCTGCTGAAAGCCATTGCAGCACTCTCCCTTGCTCCACACCACTATCTCTGACATGGAGAAGTGATACATTACATCCACACAGGTCTAATCTCTAATGCAATAAACACAGGTCTACAGGGGTCAAGCGCTTACATCCTACATACAGTAAATTCATTACCTATTGTTTACAATTGTCTCATGTGACCATGATTTAAAACCATGTTGCAAGTGACACCTTGAGGGCCACACAAACTATCTAATATGGTAAAAACTAAATTGACCCCTGGTAACTTTGTTGGTGTCAAGATGAAAAAGGTAAGAAATCTCTGCAGAAATGAAGTGACTGATAGAGAAATTTAACATGATCTGGTAATCCCAAATGTCTAATAAAAAATTTATTATTTATTCCACTCCTGTGTTTAGGCACCTGCTGAGATGGATCCACTCATGAGACTCATGCAATGTTTAATACACAGTGGTCAATCCATAAAACCCTTTGGAAGAAAAGTGAAAACAATGCAATAAAACAGTCACAGAGAAACTGCCTGTAATTGCCAGTATTTTCAGTCAACAATAACACCAGAATTACCCCAGCATACTGAAAAACACAAGGGCATAATGAATGTTAAAACTTTATTAAAATGATACAGTGGCAACTGTGACTACTGTCCATATTACAAACCTTTTATAAACCCCGACTAAACATGTCAGACTGCCGGTTTATTGGATCATGTTTTCTCCAGTCAGTATTTGTATTTTATAACTATTGATCACTGTGGAAACTAGCAAATACAAAGAATACTGAGTTGAGGGTTCACTGACATAGCCTGGAAATAAGAAGTTATAAAAACGACAACCATTTAAAATCAAATAAATCATTTTACAAAGACTTTGTTGACCATAATGAATCATTGAGGACCTACGCTGTTAAGTATTTCTTGTACTAGCCATAGGTGAAAGAATGAGAAAGTCATCTGAAAAATCACACCTTTTTGGTGTCCTAAAATAGGCAGTAATTAGATCTCAGTGGAGAATTAAAAATAAATGATTTCTTCTTTATTAATGTGGTCGCCTCCAGTCACTAGTCTCCCTGCCTGTCTGCACAAGAGCCTCTTACTTCTCTGGTCTATATTTAAGCTGTAGTGAGAAATCTACTCATGTTACCCCAACAAGTACTGCACCTCAGAGCTGCTACATGGGACACTCCCCTTCAATTTGGAGTACCAAGCACATGATACTATGACTCATATTAGACAGTCTAACAGTATATTGTAGAGAGATATAGATATAGCAATGTGCCTTTTATATTGAGACTGCTCTGTCTTCAAAGTAATAGATAATGCACTAAAAATTGCAATTAAAAAACTTATGTTCAAAGAGCACTTGGCTGAAAATCTGTTATATGAACACAGTATCCCCTGCACACTAGGAGGTAGATATGGTAACCTAACCTAAAGTAAAGTAAAAAAAAAAAAAAAAAAAAAAGTAAACAATGTAACGGGCTGTGCCTGATTTTTATCTGCATAGTAAAATGAAATATTCTTTGTCCCAGGATAGATATATACTAAAATTTTAATAATTTAATGATTTAATGTAAAAATCAAACCACTGTTCTCTGTCTGCATCTAATTACAAAGTCATTTTTATTGTCTGTGAACCAGGAAGTTAGCACTGTTAGAACTGTTAGCGTGATAGTCGTTGCCCAAACTCCAGATTGGTCTCTTAAAGTTGTGAAAGGTACTTGTACACTCAGCGCAGTTACATTTGGACAGCTACAAATTGTTTAAAATGAACTAGTTCTATTTTTCAGGTTTTAAGACAAAACCCAGGAACAGTGCCTCTAAATACTATAATATTTTATATATTAGAAAAAGTTCTTGCATGGTACAAATTACATTTAGACACTCTACTTTAATACATCTTGTCCATTCATAGCCAATAGTAGATCACAGGTGTATAGTGGACAAGAAGTCTTCCTGAGATTCTTCCTCTGGCACCTTTTCCCTGGATGTGGGAGGACGAGGAGTTTGGTCTTCCATAAGATTTCTCTCCAGAGCTGTGTCTTCAGCACTGAGTGGCTCTCCTTTGATCAGCACATACATGTAGTACTCAAAACCATCTCCATAACTGTAGTTTTGGATAGACCAGTTGTATTCCGAGCGGGCATACAGACGCTTCCGGAAAAATGGGTTGGCAAAAGTGATGGAGATGAATCGTCCGCCAGGCTTAAGACAGCGGCTGATCTGCAAAATAGATATATACCGGTAAGATAATTTTAGTATTTTGTACCATATTTATAACTAACATGTAGATTCTGTTCAGTGGCTAAAACACATATTAAATAGATAGATACTTTATTAATCCTGAGGGAAATTTAGGTTTAATAATGCTAATAATGGAAATAATGGAAAGCATGTTTTTTATCTTCTTTTTCAGGTATTTGTCAAAAAATATTTAAAATTTCGTTGTCTTGTTCTGGATTCAATGTTTTAGCAAAACCATTATAAAACATTTATTTTAATAAGAAAAGGTTTAACATTACATATCTCAAAAGAAGAGAAAACATGCAGATGTTGTTGAAAATTTTCAATAAATATTTAGTTTGGCCCATGACTGAGTCACAGTTTTAATTTTGGCCCTCTATGAATTTGAGTTTGACACACCTGCATGTAAATGGCATGTAAAATATGTATACCATTTGTAAATGTGATGGACAGTCATATCTCTGTGGAGACAAACACATTCATGACAACAGGTCTGTTACAGGTCAGATCACTGAAGAGGCAAGCCTGCTCACAGTAAGAATACACCAGCAGTTGAATAAATGAGGGCTAGATATGTTTAATGCCATAGTGCGGAACATTCCAAGCCAAGCAAAACATGTTGGAGACAAGCCAGTGCCGGACCCTCTCAAAATGGTTGCATAGCGTATTGTTTTATGCAAATATATTTAATCTGTACATGAAGTTTCTAAGGATCTGCAATGGCAATAGGAGCTAAAACCTCCAAGATGAGATTTGATAATGTGACAGTGTGCAAACAGCAAAGGTGAATAATTATAGTTGCGGTCCTGTGGTCCCAGATCAGTGCTGCTTCATGTGAGAACCACACGTGCATTAGGCTTTTGTACTTCAAGGGAAAACTGCACTCACCCACATACACAGGCAGAGGGCTGAGCCTGAGCTGGGGAAAGTTGTGTGGGAGTGAAGAGGCAAGATCTTAGTCTTATCTGCAGCAAGTACACTATTACTTGTGGAGATACCTGTGTTTTGTGGTCCTATTCTTTGATTATGGACCCCTTATTAACTTATTACTTATTATTGTAGTACTGAGTAATTTATCATAGTTTTAGGCCTGTCACAATAACAAATTTAGAAGCATGATATCTTGATACAGAGAAATACTGAGATAAATGATAATATTGAAACTACGTTATGCCATTGTCACAAAGCAGAATGATCCCAGTAAACCAACATTTAAATATAGTATATCTTGTCATGTATCACAAATGAATAATGAATTAACAAATAAATTGCCATAGAAATGATTCAGTCAACCCTCTACAGCTCAAATCTTACCTTATTGCATCAAGATGGCAAAAATCTTCCCACTTGTGCAAAGAAACTGTACATACAATAAATACTGAGGCAGTTTTCATATACCAAAGTTGATATAGTAATTATTGTGACAGGCCTAGTTGTTTTTAGGCATCATACGTTTACTTCTACTAGAGTATTTTTAAGTTTAATAGTAAACTTAAGTAAAAGTTTTGGTTCCTCTGCAAATAAATCTAGAAGTGACAGCTTTATTTTTGTTCATTATTTAATGTTTTGTCCTTCAAATCATAAATCAGATGTTAGATCCAGACATTTTTTTATTCTCAGGTACTCTTACTTGAGTAGTACTTTCCCCCAGTACTTTTTTATTTTTCTGGAACACTTCTTCACTACTACTTGAGTTATTTTATTTTGAAGTAACATTAGGAATGCTTATTACTGTGTGAGAAACAAATAGATAAATTTGAAACTTTACATTGCATGTGAGCCTAGTATAGTTTGTAAGGGCCCGTTCTCATACACCTTCACTAGAATAGTTTGGATAACTTCAGCCCTGGAAATGCCAATTATTTACCTAACAGAGGTTCCACCTTGAGCTTTTTAGAGATGTGGAGATGTAGACAGACTAATCACAAAGGATTACTCAAATTTATGTAAGTGAAATAAAATGGCTAAAAGCTCACAAGAATCCATTTTGTGTAATAGTGTACTGCCCGCTCATATGATGAAGCATTGAGGCATGTTATACATCCACAGAGTATGACAGGACCTCCTCTACTGTGTGTTTTGCCAGAGCTTTGATGGGCAGCGCGGGCTCACGTGTGACACTGCACTGGGGCATACAGGGGCCAGGACAGGATGGGGGAGGGAGGGGGCTGTGATGGTTAATAAGACCACACCCTTCACATCAGGATCACTGCAGAGAGGAGCACGTGGAGTCTGCTCTTCTCACATGATTCAACTGTGCAACCCAAAGCAGCACAATATGAATTATTCACTCATCACTGTGACACTGACTGTGAGATATGGGCTAAAGGGAAAATGTAAAGCACAGGAACATGTTTGGGAGAAGTTAGTGGCATATGTTCAGTCTCATCCAGTTTATGTACTTTTGATTAACTTTCATGACATGAGCTGTTATTATTTTGCCTAGTTTCTAGTATGGCATAACATGTATCTATTATTATTTCAAATTATTAATTATTCAAATTATAATTAATTATATTATTGCAAACAAACAAAACACAACAAAAACAACAACATGCATTCTTACACGATGTCGCCTCTCCACAGATGGACCTGTACTTTGGCCTGGTGGCATTATCTCCTCCTCTGCATGGAGATAGACAAATTTAATTCTATACTATCTATGGATCACTATGGGTAAAAAGGTGAAACAGTAACATCTCTGTGGAGACAAGCTGGCTGCAGACCCTGAACCAGCAAAGTTACATAGTGCCCTTAATTTAAAAAAGAAAAGGTCAGAGTGTCACTGTCAATACAATTAAGTGTCAGAGCAGAATGCTAAACTGATTTGTGAGGAAATGCTTATGTTCAAAGTGATTGTGATCCTCGGAGGTTGTTGGAAATGGATACCTGAGCGGGGCAGCCTTGACATCACTTTGTGCAGCCATTATTCATGAGCTGAATAGGTGTGCTCCTTGGACTTGTACTGTGTAACTCCAGCGCCCCATATCATAGGATCAATGGCATCACCCCAGCATTGAACAAACCGCATAGTCCAAGTGAAAGAGGATACATGTAAAATAACTATTCATGTGTTTAGGAACATGACTGACCCTGATTCACACATTACTTTAAATCTTAGGAAGTAACAGGCAAGATCAGCATGAGAGTGGTGAGTCATGTGTTACAGTATATCAACACAAGTAGTATGCCTCTACACACTATGTAAATGATCTGCCCACACACCGCTGCCACAGTAATTCAACGGTAATTGTTGTACAGTGACAAGCCAGGGAATGTAATTGGCTCTACTGACAACAATTGTATTGTAATTTTAAAGAGGGTCGGCCCAGGCTATTGGGAGTCATTAGCCTAATTAATTTTTAACAGGTCTGTGTACTTGTGGTACTAGAATGCAAACCTAGAATAGAAGACTTAAAACATATCATGTTCTAATTTAGTTATTTTTTATGTAGTTAAATGTAGTTGTCCTCTGTCAACAAATCAACAACTTCAGTGAAATCCTGTGAAGGGAATAATGTATTGGTGAATTTTATCTGCCGCTTACAAGATTTGCACGATGATCAAGATTTGTGATTTCTTTTTAAAAATTTCCAATTATCCAATCTCACATAGCTATGTGGTTCTTAGAACAAATATTTTTGTAAGCTATGCCATGTGCAGAGAACACCACTTTCAAAACATAGTCCATTTCCCTGAGTCGTGGCCCTTGTAAAGTGATCTGAAGTCAGTGGGCTTCTCCAGGGGGCGAACAGAGGAAACCACTCACTGCCTCACACTCAGCTCAAACGTTTGAGTCGCACACACATGCAAAGCAATAAGGCTGCTGGTTAATTATTCAGCATGGTGACGGAAGCAAGTGTCTAAGTATCCTGACCCGTCTTCAGTGTACCGCAACACACAGGCAATAGGATACACAAGTTTAAATGTCCTGAGCTGGAGCATGATTCAATAGAGCGCTCAGTTTGACAAAAGGCCACCACACACTACAGGATTTTCGGTTTTAAAGGTGCAACAAAAAGCGCACACCACAGACATGAAGAGAATCACATGAGATTGTAAATCTCCAACCGCAAAGACTGCTACAGGATATGGCTGCGGCCACAGGCCTAAAAGTTGTGAGCGCACTTGCATCAGCTGTTTCCTGTAAAACCACTTGCTTTAAAAGACACTTAAGTGTTCAAAAGATGAGAGCACTGGACTTCTAATTTAGATACAAGTCAAAACTGTATTATTAGTATTTGTGAAATGTGGTGCAATACTTTGGTAAATGGTCACATTTTTCTATAGCGCTTTTCCACCTTCAAGGTGGTCAAAGCACTTTACAAAAAGGAACCACTCACACACACATTCACACACCAGTGTACGCAGACACTGTGGGCAAGGTGGGTTAAGTGTCTTGCCCAAGGACACAACGGCAGCATTCATCTGTGGGAGCTGGAATCACACCAGCCAACTTGTGGGTCAGTGGATCTAACTGCTCAACCTGTGATATTTATGTCAAGAGCTGGATTCGAACCGCCAACCTTTAGATCAGTGGGCGATTGCTCTACCAACTGAGCTACTGCCACCCTTTAGATACACGTTCTTTACTGCACAGACTGTTGGCAACAAAATACATAGGAAGTAGAGTGACTATCGCTAATCTGCAGCTTCACTCTGATTGCGCGCTGTGTGGATTTTACATCCTCGCAGAGGAACTACTAGACACATGTGAGAAACAACTTTCGCCTTTTTACTTTTAAAGAACGCTTCAAACTGTATTAACAGCACTGTTTTGTGGATTGGGTTTATTATTATTTTTGCTGTTTACTGAGTTTGCATCTTGTGTCCGTCACTCCTCTGCCCCTGACGCTCTGTCCCCACACACATGAGGAGCGCAGCGGAGCGGCTTCATAATCCCTCACGAAGACACAAAGTCAGGTCACACCTCCCCGAACACAGGGAGAAGCAAATCACAGCCAAAAATTTGACTAATT